AGCGAAAGTCAGGCGCTTAACCGACTGAGCCACCCAGGCGCCCCGACGACAGCACTTTCTATTCGTAATCTCATTTCATCTGTAAAAGACTCCGGGGCTTGCTTTGTCATTCCCATTTTACAGATGACTAAACTGAGGTGGAAATGAACTACCCTGTCAGAGATCACACACGCCGTAAGGGACGGGGTCTGACTTGAACCCGGCCTGCGGAAATCCCAAGACACTTTGCTGCCCATTCCTAGAATGGCCGATGGGACTTTGCTGCCCATTCCTAGAATGGCCGATTGGATATCCTCTCTTGTGTCCACTCAGCTGGTTCAGTAATAGCTCCCTGGGCGCTGTGTTCAGAAAGATCCTGAGGCTGCCTGTAGGCTCAGTGTTGTTGTTAGCAGGGGACTTGGAGTGCGCCTTCCCCTGCCCGTGCTGCCCTCTGCTATGAGTGTTTTCCATCTGTCCTATCAAGAGTGCCCCCATTAGCAGTGGCAGCCTGGGCGCAGGGGAGCGGGGTGGGGGGCAGGGCGAAACTGGTAGTTTATGGGCTCCCTTTCATGCCTCTTTATAAAGCTTCGATTAAAACTTTGTATGTATGCTCACATCACGCAAGCTGGCTGTGGAGTGTGGTGGCCCTGCAGCTACAGACAGTCCCAGGCGGGCCGCAGGGGGTCTGCCTGGAGGAAGTGACAGCGGGCATCACTTTCATTGTCGGGTTTAGGCTTCGGCTCCCCACCTCAGCAGGAATGGGGTTTCCAGGCACCATAAGGCGTGTTCAAGGGAGCGAAGAGGCCCCATTCCTTTTGCACGTGTGAGTTTAGCAGATAAACACATCTTCCACCTATCCGTCAGTGGCTTGACCTGATCAAGCCAAGCTCCGTTTGCATTGTTCTGAAGCAGTGAATCCTTTTCTGGAACATCTGTGCACCATGTTAACTAAAGAGCCCATTTTTCCTGTCTCGTTATTTGGGGAAAGCGGTATTCAGTGCCAGGATGATATGCACTTTGCTTAGTTTCTATATAATTTGCTTTGAGCGCAAATGTTTTACTAACCACCCCCCACTCTTTTAATAGCCCAAGAGACACTTTTTCCAGTGAGTCATGCACAACCAGGAAAACTTGCTCTTTGGCTCCAGGTTAGCTTTCATACTGGGAATGTCTTAGAACCGGGAGGTAGGAAATGAGCTGGAATGTGGAAACTGTTTTTAATGCGGTAGAAACAGAGGGAATGAGGCTCTCAGGGGGGTGGCCCCCAGCTGAGAGTAGGGTGCGCTAGGTTTTCCTGAGCTGGAGTCCCAGGGCTCCTCCTCACTATCATTAGCTTTTCCATTCCTCTTGAACCTACGCTGGTTGCCTCTTGACCTCACACCTCCCACGCCTGGCTACATTTCCCAAGCCCCCGATGCTACATTGTTCCTTGTTGGAAACCATTTGTGAGTTTCCCTTTGGTCCCAGTATCTTCTACTGGGGGGCCCCGTGTTCTCTGACTGCAGCACAGCGGGGGACTCCCAGCAGCCTGTGCGCCTGCCTTCCCTCCCGCTTCCCCGCCAGCAAGCTTGGTGCCCCAGGGAACAGACAGATGGTCTGGGCCTCGGGGCTCTTCCCCTGCAGCTGTCCAGGCGCACCCCCGACTCTGAGGACCGCGTGCCCATTTTTAGGATTGTGGGCGAGTCTCCTCTCATCCCAGCTCGCTCTTCTGCCCTAGAACAGTGGCACCTTTAAGGTGTTCCCTCATCCATGGCCTCCACCTCCCAAATGTGTGTCCCCTGAGTCTCCAGACTCAGCCTAGGGATCAGCACTTGCCTCTCCTGCTAATGTAACTCCCACCCGTTCTGCCCCCGCTGCCAGTCTGTCCACGGTGGGGCCTACCCTGAGAGCCTCTCTGACCCCTGAGAGCCTGACGACCACTGATGTCCCCCGGGGACATCATGAGCAGCTTCAAGGAAGGGTCTGTGGGCCTTTATCACACCCCTAGCTTGTCTGGCACCGTGCTGTGCATGGAAGAGCTTCTGAAGGATGAGTTTCCAGCAATCGCTTTTTTTTTTAACATTTATTTATTATTGAGAGACAGAGCATGAGCATGGGAGGGGCAGAGAGAGAGGGGGACACAGAATCCGAAGCAGGCTCCAGGCTCCAAGCTGTCGGCACAGAGCCCGACCTGGGGCTCGAACTCACAGACCACGAGATCATGACCTGAGCTGAAGTCAGACGCTCAACCGACTGAGCCACCCAGGCGCCCCCAACAATCGTTTTTGTGTGGCTTGGTTCCCCTCACAGAAGTGGGTTGTAATATGCTGATGCAAAATTCAGAGAACACTTTGTCTATAACAGGGTCTGTAGACAGATGACTGATGGCGGGTGCCTGCTTGGTGTTCTAGACAAGGAAGGGTTCCAAGGTTTTCTGTAGGCTCGGGGAGAAATAACGTCTCGGTTGGTTAGTGATGTCTACCCCGGACATGGCAGTGGGTACTGGGTGCCTTGTTCCGTGTTTACTGTCCCTTCCTGCAGATCCCCGGGGCTGCCCCGCAGCAGGGCAGGGTCTTGGGGCTGCTGGCCCAGAGGAGCTGGTGGCCTGAAGGCTGCAGCTGCGAGAAGGCACTTCTGCTCTTAGTGGAGGAGGGAGGCTGCCGGGAGTCACAGCCAGCGTGGGCCAGAGTCGGGTCACCAGGGGAGCTGACCTTCACGGCTCAATGAGGCACCAAGGGGAACAGCTGGTCAGGTCCCTGTGGCCACGGGACATGCCAGGGACGCTAAAAGATGAGGCAGAGGAGTAGACCCCCTGGGAGACAGTACATAGGCTTCGGAATGAGGATCAAGGAAGCTGAGTCTTTGGCCCAGTTTTTAAAGTTACGTGTATTGATGAAAGAATGTAAATGACAGAGTGATCTGTGAGGGATCTCCCAGTGGTCAGAGTGGACATCTTGAGGCCACCACAACATGGGGACTTCCCAAATGGGACCGTACTTTTGTAACGTGCACCAGTGGGACAAGTGGCCCGAACACAAGCTAGTGGGGATCTGTGAGCCACTGGAAACAAGGCCACGCTGCAGCTGTGCCTGTGGCCCTGGCCGGCCTGGCGCCCGCATCGGAGGGTTTGGAACAGTAATTGAGTAAAAGTAGGGGCGCCTGGGTGGCTCAGTCGGCTAAGCATCCAGCTCTT